GCTAATCTACTGATGCTTCGCCTTGGAATCCCTTGGATGGAAGAGCCTGTCTTACTCCTAGATCACGATGACTGGGAAGTAGGCATTCAATCAATATTGGTCTGGGTAAGCTAATGACTAGGACTACCTTCTACACCGTTTCTATCCTCTGAAATCCAGTATTCACTGCCTTCAAAATCTGGCATAAGGAAACTGCATACAGCACTATGAAATTGCTGTAGTAATGTGAGCATGTGCTCTGACACCAGATACCTAAAGTAGAGTCCTGGCTTCACACTAGTTGCCTCACCTACAGCAAGTTGCCTAAACTCTTGATGGCTCTGTTTTCTCAGACGGGTTTAGAGGGAGAAGGTGATTCTGATACAGAAATAGAACTATGAGGGGGTTGGTTTTTCTACAAGCTTCCCAAGATGATTCTGATATGGCCCGTCCATTTGTTACCAGCTGCCTTGGAGAACTAAATACCAAATCCTCCACCGGGAGCAGTGACAAATGGGAGACAGCGTGCAGCAAAGAATGAGGTAGGTCATGCTCCAGGGTGTTATTAAGAAGGGAACTGGGAAGGTACCAGGAGACTGCTGATGGAGCCCAGAAAGGGAGGAGGAAGTGGAGGAGGGACAGACCATGCTGCCAAAGTGGTTATCATGCCCCCGCCCTCCCTAAAACCCTTCAAGGACTCAATACCTAGCAGTGATGCCCCAAGTTTGTTGCACTGAACACTAGTTCTGTATTGAATTAGTAGCAGTATTCTTGGAGAGCTTACTCTATGCCAGGCACTTAAGTGCTTTGACTGTATGAGCTCACAGTTTTTACAACAACTTTATGAGGTAAGAACTGTTACTCTCCCCTCCTATTATATGATCAAACTGAGGCACAGAGATGCTGAGTAACTTGCTCAGGGCTACACAGCCAACAATGCAGTGGGGCTAGGATCTGAATCTGGGTAGTCTGCCTCCGTTTTCACTCTAACCACTGTGCTCTACTGCCTGAGAAATCATATGTGAATAAAGCGTTTTGTGTTCAAATAAATCTGGGGCTGCTAACTAAAGGTAAGCATGTTCATCATTTTTCAGGACTTCTCAAAGAGTTCGGTATGCATTTCCATAAACCTACCTCAACTGTGTCCCCGTCCTCCATCTTCCTATCTCCTCTCTCCGAAGCCAACCCCTCCACTTTCCTTATCTTTTTTCAGACTTGCCTCTCCTCATTATTGCCTTCTTTTCTTCCTCACCAGTCTCTCCCTCTCTGCTGGATCATTCTTGGCAGCATACAAGCATGCTCTAGTAATCCCCTTCTTTAAAAGCTCTCCCTTGCCCCCTCCACTTTACCACCCTATTTCTCTGCTCCCATTCACATCTGCACTTCTGGAAAGACTGGTCTGGGCACAGTGTCTTCCCTTCACCTCTCATTCAGTCTTCAGTCCATTACTGTCTAGCTTCTGGCCTGTCAACACTACTCCACGTGCCCTGGACCACACCAGTAGTTCCCTGACTAAATTCCCTGCTGCTAGTCCCTCCTGCCCCCAAATTCATCCACTGGCCACCAGGGGCCAAAGGAGTCTTGTTGAATGCAAGCCAATTCATGTCTGTTTATTTAAAGCACTTGAATGCCTTCCTATATCCCTTCAAATAAAAATAACTCTACCATGGGAGACAGGGCCCTACACGGTCTGGCCCCTGCCTGATTCTAGCCCTGTCCATCTCCCACCATGCCAGCAAGGATGCTGGCACTCATGTAACTTTCATAGCTCTTCTCCTTCTGTCTGCGGCTGTCTGGTTGCATGACTGCCCCTTCCTGTCCTTCAGTCTCAGTTCTGTCACAAAGGGACAGTGTCTCATGTGAGACAGCTCCCAGCTAAGTAGATATGACAGTTACTCCACCACTGCTGCTGCCACGTCTTGCTGTCCCTTTGTGATGGAACTACGTAGGATACTGGGAGAACTCTCCAGGGGGCTGGGGCCCTGCATCAAAAGGAGGGGGATATTCTTACTGACTCCATTTATTGCCCACAGATCACGGAGCCTGGTTATGTGGACTCCATTCTGAAGCCTGTTTACTGTGTGGAGTGAACACGGTTCATGCCTGGTCTGTTATTCCACCAGCCAGGTAAAACAAAGAATATCTCTCCCTCTGTTTTTCTGTCTCTGCCTCTCTTTCATACACACACATCCCTAAAACTGTATTCTAACTTCTTAAAAAAGGGACATTTGCCAGTCTTTTAAAATAAGCCAACTCCCTTTTTTTCAGTATGAGACTTAAAATTTCCAGTTTTTCTTTAGAGTCAAACACAAATTTTAAAACACTTTTGAAGTAATTTGGGAGCAGAATCCTAGATTTTCAATTTTCCACTATTGCATGGTTGATTCATCCATAATTTGACTATTTTTAGTAAGTTGCCTTTACTGAGAGCATTCATGTAGGTTTTCAAAAAATTGATTCCCTGTCTTTTCACACTTATAATTCATTGGTTTACTTATTATTTTAAAATTTAAGGATTTATTGTTATTAACCCCTTAATTTCTAAACTCTGATTACAGAATTTAGTGACAGGCTTCAAGAGGTCTCTGAAAGCTGAATTTTTAGTATATGTGGTTATTTTTCTTCAGAGGGTCCATAGGCTTCATCAGATTCTCAAATGTATTTTTTTAATTGAAGTACAATGTTATTTTAATTACTGCTGTACAGCAATGTCAGTTGTGTGTGTATATATATATATATATATACACACACACACACACATACACATTCTTTTTTTATATTCTTTCCCATTATGGTTTATCATAGGATATTGAATATAGTTCCCTGTGCTAGACAGTAGGAACTTGTTGTTTATCCATTCTGTATGTAATAGTTTGCATCTGCTAATCCCAAACTCCCACTCCATCCCTCCCCCAACCCCCTCCCCCTTAGCAACCACCACTCTGTTCTCTATGTCTGTGATTCTCTGTTTCTGTTTCATAGACAGGTTCATTTGTGTCATATTTTAGATTCTATATGTGATATCATACATTTGTCTTTCTCTTTCTGACTTACTTAGTATGATAATCTCTAGTTGCATCGGCTTACTAAATATTAAATGATGTCATTACAGTAGGTACAACTTGAATCCACAGGTTTGGGGACAGGTTCTGTAAATGCAACTCAACTGGGAAGAATGAAGCACATGAGTACAGGGTACTGGGCCAGAGCCCCCCAGTCTCAGTGCTCAGCGTGCTTTGCAGGCAGAAGTCAGTACGTTTTACAGATAGAATGGAGGGTGCTGTTAAATGGAAATTGGAGGGCAGAACGTCAGTAGACGTTCATTGCCAGCTAATTTTCAGAGAAAAATCACATTTGCAGGTCTTAGTTTTGCCAGCAGGTGGCAGATGCCGCTCATGAGCTGGTTTGGGGCAAGGACTTGGCCAGAAGCTGAGCTTTGCCACTATTAATGGCTAAGAGAAGACAGCCTCCCTTTCATCATGTGAAACCCCTTTGGTCTCTTCTGCTCTTTTGATAGCCTGGCAGCATTTTCTCTCTAGGTCAAAGTCGGCAGAATTTCAGGGCTGTGGTGAGGGAACTCAGGACCATAAAATACACTGGTGTTCCCACCAATCTCCTCCTAGCCTCAGTTTCTCCTCTGAATGGGGAGCATGCAGCTAATTCCTTTGTTACCGAGTTGTTGTGAGGAATCAGTCACTTCGTATTATTTTCTTTCTCCTTGAACAGAGGAAGGCAATATTTCACCTTCTGGGAAAGCTAGTCACCCAGCATCCGGTGCTGTGATGGCTCTGGTCCTGGGAGCAGAGGCAGGTAGTGCTCTCCACTCATCCCACCCCTCAGAGCTCTGCAAGAGAACTCGGACTGCTGGTGACGCTGAAGGCCCTCGGCAGCCACTTGTCCTCTTGGCTGGTGAGGCCAAAAGTGACCCAGCAGCAGACCAGTCATTGGCCTGCCTCACCACTGTTAGAGTTACCAGTTGGCCTGGGCCTGTAGGCTTGCACCTTATAGTGCAGAGCCAGACTTCTGGGAGCACTGAGACCCTGGCATTTAGAGGATTGCTATCACGTGATAGTTTATACCTGATTCGAGGTGGATGGGTGGTTGGGCCTGAATGACTTCTCCAGAGACGATAGTCGGAAATTGGGGCACTTTGTTGACCCCACTCCGCTCAAAACCACTGCAGTTTACGGCTGGGGCAGTGAGGGGTGATAGGTAAGGACACCATGAGCAGGAGCAAGTGATGCTGGTGCTAGCACTGCCTGTGCCCCAGACGCCAGTCCCCTCTGCTCAGAGGTGGCTTCTTTGGTGCCCCTGAAGGCCCATCCTGTGGAGCGCTGGCCCAGGCCTGGGCTGTGTGTGGCAGGAGCCACGGAAAGGTTTTCTTGAAGGATTTACCCCCGTGGAGCCTTGAAGTCTGAGGATGAACTGGAGGACGAAGGTAAGCAGGCAGGGAAGGGAGAGGGGTTAGCACCAGCTCGAGGGGAGTTTGCAAGGGAGATGGGCACAGTCTGAGGCGTCTGTGCCTGGAGGACAGAGAACAGGCACTGCCTATCACCTTGGCTCACCTTTCCTTTAGAGGCACACCTTGTCACCCTGCACACTCCCGGGGTGCAGAAGCAGGGAGTACAGCACCCTTGCTGAGCTCTGACTCACAGGCTCTGGCTTTGGAGCAGAGCTAGAGTCAAGGGAAGGAAAGCAGGTTACAGGGGAAGGCCTGAGAGGAATTCCAGGACAGACACAAGCTGCAGAGGCCCAGGTGGCTCAGAGAGGGAGCAAGCAGTGAGGTAAGCCATCCTGCCCAGAGCACAGAAGATGGAGCTGAGAGCACAGACATGTGGCTAAGTCCAGCTTCAGTGACCATGGCAACAGCTCCTCTGGGACCTTTGCACCCCACTTCTGAAGGCCCCACGCCATTCCACCCATGGGACACCTTGAGGACTCCCAACCCTGCGAGAAACAGGAGAGGTCAGTTGGTACCCTCACTTTGCATGCCCATGAAGGAGTCAGGCATCCAGGCATCATGCTTTCAGGGCAGATTTAATAAAGAATGCAAAAAGGTCCTGGTGAGCTACTCAGATCCCAGGTGCCACCTGTTTTGGCAGCCACGGGACTGTCCCCCCTGACGCCTGCCATACCCTACTCAGTCAGAGCAGCACCCAGCTCCAGAGCAGGGCTCGGGCTCCCGACAGGGGGTGTCAGGACTGCTCTCTCCAGCTGGCACCAGACCTCCTGGCACCACTGAGGCCCAGGGCCAAGCTGCAGAGGCTCTGGTTCCTCCCGAGGCCACGGGAGGTTAGGGAGGGCAAGCTGAGCAGCAGCAGAGAACTCTCCCCACTCCTTTACTTTGGTGCTCTGGCACCTTTTGCCCCAGCAGTCAGGCTTCCCAGGGTTGAAAAAAACTCCTCCATTTCCTTCTGCAGCAGCTGGTTCCTCTTCTCTGCGTCCTCCCGTGCCCGCTCCGAGTTCCTCAGCTTTATTTCCAGCATTGTGTACTTTTTCTTTTCCTGGTCTAGTTCTTCTTCTAGCTGTAACATTCGTTTCCTCAGGTCGGCACTACCTTCTTCGAGTCTTAAAATTCAAGAAGAAAGACATCATTTTAGACTTGGGCCTGCTGGGTTTGCCAAGAAAACTCCATTATCAGCGGACACTTGATGGGGCGAAGGAGCTGGTAAGGCCTGGGACCAGGGGAAGGATGTGTGCGGGCTCAGACCCGGTGCTGGGTGAGGCCGCACGGACTGCATCTCCTCACAAGACCCTGGGGCTTTCCCCCAAGCCAGTCGGGCCTCATCCCCGAGACCCTGCCCCCTCAGCCTTTGGCACTAGAGGCCAGGGACCTCCCTGAGTCCTCACTCAAATACGAAGACCACTTACCCTCCCCTCCCAGCCAGCTGTCCTGCTGAGGGATGGACTGCCATCTGGCAGAGAACAGGACTGAGCCCTGCACCGAGAGGGAAGCAGGAAACTGTCCTCACGTTTGCTCTTCTCCGAGACCCCTTGATCTTCAGGCAGAGACAGCAACTCACAGGAAACCCCATTCAGGTTGTCACTTCATCTTCCGTTCCCTCTCGGCCTTCACACCCGAGCCCAAACGTCTCAGCCTCTGGGAAGCTTCTCTTGATCCTCCCCAGCATATAACCCACATTACTGCTCCTTTTTGCTACCACAGAGCTACACCTCAGGCCTCTGTAGAGGTTAACAAATCTATCTTTTTAACCAGACGACCCACTCCTGTGAGACATGAGGGACTTGCTGCGCCTGGCTCCTAGGAACCGACCGGACTACAGGACACATGACTGTGGGCAGGACTCAAACTTCACTGAGCCCTGGTGTCTCACCCTGAAAATGCAGGGGACGGCCTTCCACCTATGCACTGTAGCTATGATGGACCAAGGAGACCACGTGTGCACAGCATACCGCCTGGCACATGGTGTACCTGAAGCAAATATCCATTCCCTGCCCCATCCAGGATGAGGCCTGGGCCTTCACCCTCAACCACTGAACACAGAGCATGGAGAAGGGCTAAAGTCTGGAAGAAGAGAAGGATGCCCACTTTCACTACTTCGATATAGTACTGCAAGTCCTAGACACAGCAATCAGACAAGGAAAAGAAATAAAAGGTATTCAAATTGGTAGAGAGGAGGTAAAGTTATTATTTGCAGATGACATGATACTATATATAGAAAACCCTAGGGCTTCCCTGGTGGCGCAGTGGTTGAGAGTCCGCCTGCTGATGCAGGGGACACGGGTTCGTGCCCCGGTCCGGGAAAATCCCACATGCCACAGATCGGCTGGGCCCGTGAGCCATGGCCACTGAGCCTGTGCGTCCAGAGCCTGTGCTCCGCAACGGGAGAGGCCACAACAGTGAGAGGCTCGCGTACCGCAAAAAGAAAAAAAAAAAGAAAACCCTAAAGACTCCATGCAAAAACTACTAGAACTGATAAACGAATTCAGCAAGGTAGCAGGATACAAGATTAACATAGAAATTGGTTGCATTTCTTTATACTAACAATGAAACAAACAATCCCCTTGAAAATTGCATCCAAAAAAAAAAACAAAAAACCTTATGAATAAATCTCACCAAGGCGGTGAAAGACTTATATGCTGAGAACTACAAAACATTAATAATAAAGGAAACTGAAGGTGATTCAGAGAAATGGAAGGATATCCCATGCTCTTGGATTGGAAGAATATTGTTAAAATGGTCATACTACCCAAAGCAATCTACAGATTTGATGCAATCCCTGTCAAATTACCCATGACATTTTTCACAGAACTAGAGCAAATAATCCTAAAATTTATATGGAACTGTGAAAGGCCCAGAATTGCCAAAGCAATCCTGAGGAAAAAAAACAAAGCAGGAGGCATAGCACTCCCAGACTTAAGGCAATATTACAAAGCTAGAGTAATCAAAATAGCATGGTATTGGCACAAAAACAGACATATGAATCAATGGAACAGAATAAAGAGCCCAGAAGTAAACCCACACACCTATGGTCAAATAACCCTCGACAGAGGAGGCAAGAATATACGATGGGGAAAAGACAGTTTCTTTAGCAAGTGGTGTTGGGAAAGTTGGACAGCCTCATGCAAATCAGTGAAGTTAGAACACACTCCCACACTATACACAAAAATAAACTCAAAATGGATTAAAGACCTAAGACGTGACATCATAAATAAAACTCCTAGAAAAGAACATAGGCAAAACGTTCTCTGACATAAGTCATGACAATGTTTTCTTAGGTCAGTCTCCCAGGCAACAGAAATAAAATCAAAAATAAACAAATGCGACCTAATCAAACTTATAAGCTTTTGCACAGCAAAGGGAACCACAAACAAAATGGAAAGACAACCTATGGAATGGGAGAAAATACTTGCAAATGATGTGACTGACAAGGGCTTAATTTCCAAAACAGCTCATACAATTCAGTAACAAAAAAGCAAACAACCCAGTTGAAAAATGGGCAGAAGACCTAAATAGACATTTCTCCAAAGACGACATACAGATGGCCAATAGGCACGTGAAAAGATACTCAGCATCACTAATTCTTAGAAATGCAAATCAAAACTACAATGAGGTACCCACCTCACACTGGTCAGAATGGCCATCACTAAAAAGTCTAAAAATAACATGTTGAAGAGTGTGTGGAGAAAAGGGACCCCTCTAACACTGTTGGTGGGAATGTTAAGTTGGTGCAGCCACTATGGAGAACAGTATGGAGGTTCCTCAAAAAACCAACAGAGTTGCCATATGATCCAGCAATCCCACTCCTGGGCATATACCCAGACAGAACTCTAATTCAAAAATATACATGCATTCCTATGTTCATAGCAGCACTATTTACAATAGCCAAGACATGGAAACAACCTAAATGTCCATCGACAGATGAATGGATAAAGAAGATGTGGCACATATATACAATGGAATATTACTCAGCCATAAAAAGAACGAAATCATGCTATTTGCAGCAATATTGATGGACCTAGAGATGATCATACTAAGTGAAGCAAATCAGAGAAAGACAAATATCATATGGTATCACTTACATGTGGAATCTAAAGTATGACACAAATGAACCTATCTATGAAACAGACTCATAGACATAGAGAACGGACTTGTGGTTGCCAAGGGGGAGGGGTGGCGGTGGGGAGAGGGATGGATTCGGAGTTCAGGATTAGCAGATGCAAACTATTACATATATAGGATGGGTAGACAACGAGGTTCTATTGTACAGCACGGGGAACTATATTCAACATCCTGGGGTAAACCATAATGGAAAAGAATATGAAAAAGAATGTATGTATAACTGAATCACTCTGCTGTACAGAAGAGATTAGCACAATGTTGTAAACTAACTATACTTCAATTAAAAAAAGCATGGAGAAGGGAGAAAGCCTTCCTTCCCCCCAGCCTCCCATCTGGGGAGCACAGGGCATAATGTCAGAAGACCCTCCCCAAGGCAGGGGCAGCAGGCCCCCCCATGAGCCCCCTTCACTGCTTCTCCTCCCGTCCAGGGCCCTCCTTTGCCAGGTCCTCCCTGCCCCTTGGTGCTCCTGAGCACAGCCTCCACGCCACTCCTTGAGGGACCTTGTCCAGCCTCAGACTTGAAGTACTTAAAGCACTCAGTGTGCTGACAACCCTCAATCTTTATCTCCCTCAAGTCCACTCAGAAACTTAATATCTCCAGCTTAACAGACCCACAGCTGAGCTCCTGCCCTCCTTCCCCAAGTTACCCTCCTATAGCCCCAGTCTCCCCGGCTCAGTGACCACCTTCTTCCAGATACTCAGCCAAAACAAAAATGGTGTGTCTCAAGTCCTTTTTCTCACCACCACACCTGATCAACTGGAAAAACCCAAACATACTCAGAATCTGGCTGCTTCTCCCACCTTGTCTGCTGCCCCGTAGGTCCATGCCAGCCACAGGTCTGACCTAGATGGCCATGGCCTCCTAACTGGTCTTTGTCTGCCTCGTCAAGCGCTCCTGAGCACAGCAGTCAGTGCACCTCATCAAAGTGACCAAAGTCCTCCAGGTCTTCCAGCAGCTTCACATCTCACTGGCAATAAAATCAAAGCATCACTCCTGCCAAAACGCCTTGCCGCCTGCCCCACCCCGACTCCGCCACGCTTTCAGAGCTTGCCCAGACACTCCGCCAGTACACAGTGGGGCAGGGACTCGAACCCATAGCCTGCCATGCAACAATACTGCATTTCCCCTGAGAACCCCAGCCTCCAAGGTGAAAGATCTAGAAGCTCAAGTCAGCTCCACAAACAGCCAAGAAAGTGAGATGTTGATTCTGATCCCCTCTGAGGCTGCCCTCAGACAGTGTCTGCCGAGTAACACTTCCTGTACACTCTGAGCTCATCTTCAGCAGTAATCACCTTGCAGTGAGTCTGCAGGGAGCTCCTGCCATTACCTCTGCCTGGTAAATTCCAACCCAGTGCTTACACTGTGGGTTTTCTCCACAACTTTAAACTCCGGAGTTTTACTCAAACTGTGTCCTTTTTCTCCTCCTTGCTCAGCTCAGTCCTATCGGTCCTTCAAGTCCTGGCTCTGACATTGCCTGCTGTGACTTCCCCCCTGACTTCCCCCATGGAGGGGCTGCTGCCCTCACGGCCCCTTTCCTGCCATCTTCCTGCCGTGAACACAGAGACTGCACACACCTGACACTCCCCAGGTGCCCAGGAGACAGCTGCCAGCAGAACAAGAGGGTCAAATGCTACCATTCCAGCTCCCTGTGGGAATCCCAGGCTCAGAAATAGAAGCATGAATCCCTTCCCCCTCCACTGTCTGATGGAAAGAGGAAGCACTCAGAACCCAATGAAGCCCCTGCTAGGGGGTGGGACATGGGTTCGTAGGGCTGATGCGAGGCCTTGGGCAAAAGGAGCTAAGGGGTCTGAGATGCTGGTGGAAGCACCACTCACTGTCCAGTGTAGGCTTTGCTGGTGATTTTAATTGGGGAACTCGGCCTCTCAGAGCTGGAAAATGCTCCCTGCACAGGGAGGCTGGAACCAGGGCCCATCAGTGAACAAGCCTGCAAGCCTTAAAGGGTGGCACGAAGGACTTCCCTGGTGGCACAGTGATTAAGAATCCGCCTGCTAATGGAGGGGACACGGGTTCGAGCCCTGGTCCGGGAAGATCCCACATGCCACGGAGCAACTAAGCCCATGTGCCACAACTACTGGGCCTGCGCTCTAGAGCTGGCGAAGCCACAACTACTGAAGCCTGTGCACCTAGAGCCTGTGCTCCGCAACAAAAGAAGCCACCACAATGAGAAGCCCGCACACCACAACGAAGAGTAGCCCCTGCTCACGGCAACTAGAGAAAGCCCGTGGGCAGCATCGAAGACCCAACACAGACAAAAATAAACATTTATATATTAAAAAAAAAAGGTGGCACGAGGTGTCCTCTGTGACCCAGTGGAAGGGAGGGCTTGGCTCGGCAAGGCCAGCTCCCTCCTCAGAGAAAATCGGATTTCGATCCAGAAGAAGTCCTCACTCTACATCAGGTCCAACCATGGGCAGTCAACCAGGCTGGCCTGGGGCCTGCAGGGCACGCGTGCCCTGCCCCAGTCCCAGTTCCGGGGCTACAGGACATACCTTGGGGGCCTGCCTCCTCCCTGACTGAGGGCCCCAGAGGGACCACCACTCTGAGCCTCTCCATCAAAGGCCTCTGACAGCATGCCAGCCCCTCAGCTCCTGAGCTTTCCCAGACATAGGATCCCCACCCCTCCACTCCCAGCCCTGTCCTGTGGGCATTGTCCCAAAGGGGGCTCCTGGGCGCTGGCTGCTCTGAGCCCTGCCTCCAGGAGACTTTCTTTCAGGGCCAGAGGCTGACTGCCCGGCCCGGTGCCCAGTGAGCTGGCAGGCTGCAAGGGCCCTGCCCGGCCCAGGGAGCGCCCACCTCACACTCAGCCAGCAGCTGCAGCCCTTTACCTTTGCACACTCGTCTCGTACTCAGTCCTCTGCCGGCACAGCTCTGCCCGGAGCTCCGTGACCAGGCCCTGCAGAGCCTCAGCACGGTGGGTGAGGTCCTGGGTGGGGCTGCCTGGGTCACTGGGCTCGCTGCTGCTGATGCAGGCGCCCACCCTGTCCAGGCCGTGGTCCAGGTCTGGGGATCTGCACTCCTCACTGCTGCTGGGGACAGGGGAGGGCTCGAGGGCCCCCTCAGTGTGGAGGGAGCTGCAGGTGGAAGAGCCACTGGCCCTGCACGCTGCGCAGCTGCTGACCGAGCCCCTGGCTGAGGCCTCGCAGGAGGAGGCCCCAGACCATGGCATGCTGGCCACGCTGGGCGTGCTGGGAAAGGGGCTGGGCAGGGGCACGTTGTCATAGGTGGAGAGTCTCTGCTCGGAGCCTGAGTCCTTGAACCGGTCTCCCGATGAGGCCCGGCGGTGGCCTCGCAGGGAGGACAGCCCATTCATGAGCCAGTTCCCTCCGGAGGAGATGATGGGCACCTCCAGGGATGAGGTGCCCACCTTCGGGCTCCCCGACCGGGACCCTGACTGCCGGAAGGAAGACCTCCAGTTGGGCAGAGTCTGCACCTTCTTCCCAGGGGTGGCAGCAGGGCTGCTTCGGCTACCCAGGCCTGTGGGAGAGGTTCTAGAGAATGCCGCCACGGCAGCCCCATCCAGAGAAGAGGTCCTGTGCGAGGGCAGGCCAGGGGCACTGGGGCTGCCGGGCTCTGCCTGGCTGTCCCTGGTGACCTCCTCGGAGCCCCATCCCACGGTGCATGGTGGGCTCCCACGTGGGGAGGCTGGCGCTTCCGTGGTCCTCGAAGTGAAGAGCTGGCTGTGTTTGCGGATCAGGACGGTCATCAGGTGCTGGACCAGAGAAGTGCCTGCCAGGAAGAAGGAACAAGAAGAGCCTGGCTGTGAATACCTCCAGTTCAGGCTCTCCAGACCAGTCAGGGGAAGCTGCAGCTCGAACCCAGGGTGCCCAGCCCTGATAGTAGCCCCAAACCAGGCTACTCCTCAAGTGAGGACTCAACGAGAGCTTGCCACGTGCCGTCCCAAAGGAAAGGACGGCCACCACCCCCTCCAAATCCAGGCAGGGACATAAGGACCATACCCAAGAATCCCCCTCCTCCAATGTGGGCCCTGGAGCACAGAGCAGCACTGTCCCTTCGCACCCACTCCACCCGGCTGGCGGGGGGACGAGCAGGCACAATGCCTGTTAAGGCTGCGGGCTGAGCCAAGGGCAGGCTGGGACTGGAAGCCAGGACCTGGACGGCAGGGCCCTCTCGGCTGCCCCATATGCTGCCCACAGTGGCCGTGCCTGACCGTCCATACTCTGGGAGGCACAGGGCTCTGGGACACAGAGTAGAGATGTCTTACAGGTGCGTGTAGGCACACATACACAACCCCGTGCACACAGACAGATGTACACAGCTGCCCCCCAACGTGAACAGCCCCCCCCCACATGCACACACTCCCTCTTCTCCAGGCCACAGCCCCTGAGATGCAGCCTGTGGCATCTGTGGGGACTCGGTTCCTGAGGCTGTGGGGTGGGGGCAGGGGTCAGTGACAAAGGGAGGTGGTGCAGAGGGACCATGGTATGGATCCTGCTGCCTCGTTCCCTCCTCTTGTCCTCAACCAAATACCAGAGACTGGGGAGGCTTCTGCGTGATGAGGAGGGTGAAGTACTTGGGTGGACCCTCCCACTAGAAGTAACTGAGAATCGTGGGGAAAACTAAGTAAACAATCTTTAGTCCAGAAAAGTAGGTGAGGCAGGAGCTCAGCAAGTCAGTGGGGTGAGCATCTGCCCTCAGACGTTTGCACAACCTGGCAGGCGGGAGCTCTGGGGAGACCTGCCCGTCAGGCCAAGGGCGTGCCAAGCGAGAGCATCAACCCCAACGGTCACACCCTCGGCTGGGGGTGGCGAGGGACAGCTCCACAGCCCACCCTGCCCCTCCCCTAGGTCACGCTCGACAGGAATGGCCCCTCTGCCCTCAGCCTGCCTGGCGCCGGGGGCAGAGGGCTCCAGCTGGCGTCGGGTGGGTCCTGTGTGAGTCTCCGCCGGCATCTGCGCTCAGCCGGGACTGGCTGCGGGTTTCCTGCCTGTGAGCGGCTAGGCTCTCACACTAACCCCGCCGGCAGTCTTCCATGGGGTCTCCAAGCAGGGCTCTCATTTCCATGCCAGCCTGCACCTGTGCCCTTTGAAAAGTCGGGCTGACAGAGTCACCTTGCCTCTCCTGGCCTATCTCCTGATCCGTAAACTGGGGGCAGTAACCACAGCGTGGGCTGCTTGTGAAGATTAAAATACGGTGGTAGAAGTAAAGTACTTAGCAGAGGCCGGGGCGTGTTAAAACAGCTGCTGTTGCTATTTTTTTTCTAATCATTATTAGTCTTCATTATAGAACGGAATATTCCTCGGGTTTGCAAAAGCTCTGACATCCAGAAGCCTGTGACAATTACTTAATCGAAAATTAGTAAAGCAAAAACATCTGTGTGTGTTCAAGGGCAAGTGCGCTGACCTTCTCCACACCCGCCCCCCAGCCTCTCTCACCATTCTAACTGCACCTTATGACCCCATCCACAGGGCAAAGCTCCTTTTCCTCTTATAGCTGACCCCATGGGGGAGGAGGCGGTGAGGAGGTCCAGAGAGGCTGCTGCCTAATCCCCAGGGATGGAGCCGCCCTTCCTGCCGGCCTGGCGTTGAGGATGCTGAGGACTTGCCCAGGATCAAGGCGAGCCCAGAGCACCACGCACACCTCCACCATTACCTTCCATGATGGTCACTGGGTCTTCTATCTGCGGCCGAAGTATATTAGGTCCAAAAACGGTTGCCAGGTTCTGGACGCTCATCTTGTTGACATCTGAGTGGGACTGAACTTCATCCAGAAACCTGCAATGTAAGGAAGAGACAGTTGGCAGAGAAGCAAATCCTGATGCTGGATCTACTGGGAGCTGCCTGGCGCCCATGCTCAGCTGCACCCACATTTCCACAGCTGCTAAGCACAGCCAGCTGCCCTGCCAGGCTTGGAAGAAGGCAGAGCTTCCCCTAAGATCTGAGAGGGCCGTCAGAAGCAAAGGCCACTGGGACAAGGGCCTGTCATGGAAGGACACATAATTCTCCCACCTGCAGTGGGGGCAGATGCCCAGGAAGGCCCAGATCCCCCCAGACACGGGGCTGGGTGAAGGCCACCCTGCATGTCCTCGCCTGGCACCCTAAGCCTAGGTCGTGGTCAGGAGGCAGACCATGGGGAGGGGATGGTGAGAGGCACGCAGAGGAGGCAGAAGGAACAAAGGCTGTATCCTTTTCCTTCAGGAATGATGTGCTCAGGACTGTAAGCTCTATGAGTGCAGTGACTGTGTTCTTCTATATTCCCCATTGGCTTGACAGACATGTGAGTGGAAGCATGACCCAGGCCCCCCGACCCCCCTGAAGGGCAGGGAGCCAGAGCACAGGGGAGTGAAGCCCCACCCCTAGTCACTTACTTGCAGATATATCTGAGCAGGTTGTAATTGACCAGGGGAAGGCTGCTCACTTGTTTAGCCAACTCCAGAGTTCCCTTGGGATTGAGAGAGAAAAACAGCATTTCAAAGACCAGCAAGGAGGCCCCAGTCCTTCTCTTACTAGAGGGCGTAGGGGGTGAGAATCCGAGTCCAGACCTCCATCCACAGCCCATGGGCCTGGCCCCAGGTGACCACCACCACTTCCATCTCCCTGGCTTGTGACCTCTGGGGGGAAGCAGATTTACTTTTGAGAAGCCATTGTGAGGGATGTGCCTCTGCAGGGCCACAGAGGAATGTCAGGGCCAGCTCACTCATCAAGGTACAAATATCTGCCAGATAAAGACCCCTCATCTCCCACACGGCCAGAGGGAGCGCAAACAGTCCTTCCCCAGCCGGAGCCCACCAGGGCTGCAGGCGGGCACTGCAGGGGTGGGGTGGGGGGCCTGTCCTGGGAGCAGTCTCGAACTCTTTTGGGAGGCGGCGGGATAGAAACAGATGAAAGATCTGGTTGTTTCTGAACCCCACGGCCGGCCGGCCTGGGCAGCCTGAGTTGGTTGTGGGAGCAGGTGATGGAGCAGGAGTGCCTACTGGGTGGTGGCCCAGCCTGAGCTCCCTGTGCTCAGGGGCACGGCTGGGACACGGCCTGCTTTAGGAAGTACCTGCCCCTCCGGGAGACAGAGGGCCGCACACAGGGAGGGGATGCTCCAGGCACCTCACCCCAGCGTGCCCTCCACACACAGTGGGATGTTCCGGCCCTCCCCAGATTAGGAGGTCTAGGCCTGTCCCCCACAGAGCAGGCTGCTCCAGGGCACCACCCCCCTGACACACAGCAGGCGGCAGGATCTGTGTGCCATGAAGAGTCACAGAAAGTCCTGTCTCCACATACCCGCCACCAACTAGCAGGCCCACCCCCCCAGGATGGGTCCCCATGAGCCACTAACCTCCCCCTCGTCCTTGGTGAGCAGCTGGGCGCAGCTAAGGAAGTCCTCATACCTGGCGAAGGGGACCACAGGCTCGGGGAGCTCCCGCAGGTAGAGCTTCAGCAGGGAGGCCACCGTGTGCACGTCTGTTGTGCTGCAGGCAGAGGAATGAGTGTGAGACCTGGGCGCCAGGGAACCACAGGAGTGACCAGTACCCCGGCCCACCCCCACCAGGGGCAGCCTCTGCTCTCATGTCCGTGTGTGTGTGCGTGTGCACTGTGATGACTGGCTGGTGAACAGGTGAGCATGAAGGGCTCCCTTCCACTGCCCTGCTGCCTGCCCCAGGGTACTCTGGAGGGTGACATGCAGCTGCTCCACACCGGGGAGGCAGGCAGCCAGGGGCACAGCTGTCCTTCGACCCAAGCCTGAGCTTGCTCCTCTGCCCAGGCTCACCCTCCAACGGAAGCAGGAGGGCTGTGTCAAAGGTGCCCACCACGCAGGGCTGCTGAGCCCCTTGAAAAAGGGCAGCTGTCCCTGGGCACCTGCCACCAGGGGCTGGGCAGGTCAGAGGTCAGGCTCTTTCCCTGGCTTCTGGGCTTCTATTCACACTATGGATGCCCCATTTCCAGCACCCCAGAGCCCCGTATGTGCACTCCCAGGCATCAGTCTCCTGCTCATAGCTGGGAGCTGCCCGGGCTGAAGTGGGCCCTGTGGAGGGCGGCAGCCCTGGGCCTGTTTGGACTCTCAGTTCAGGTCCTGGACTGCAGTCTTGGCACCTCCTCCAAGCTTGCCTCCCAGGCTGGGCTAGACCCCAGGTATTTCATCTGCTTTTCTAGGGCCCTGGATTTAAACGCTGGACGTGCATTTCCCTCATGGGAGGTGCTCAGGAAAGATGGGCCTAGGACCAAAGAACGTGGCTGTGCCATTAAGGTGCCACCTGGCCCTGGCTGTCCAAGGCTGGTATCACTGAGCTAAGCCCTGGGGTCCCTTCCGCCCTGGCATTTGGAATTCTGGGGTTCCACAGGGCTACATACACCTCAAACTCACGCACCCAGAGCCCCTCCCTTCCTCAGGACTGGTGGCTCTTGGTGGCTCTCCGTCTGGCCAGTGGAGCAGCCCCCATCTGTGCCCCCACCTCCCCTCTCCAGCCAGACATGCTGCCGCCCACGGCCTTCAGTGCCTTCTCTCAGCCACCTCCTCTGCTGACCCATCCATTTCATGGGTGCTTAGGTCCCCAGTGGGTACCCAGCCTTGAGCCCAATGCCCCTTCTCCCACCTGGGGACCCCATGAGTTCACTGCCAGCCACTGTGTGAGCAGGAGCCCCAGGAGGATGCGGGGAGGGATGGGAAGCCAGGAGGATCAGCTGCTGGCCTTCGGACAAGGGCCAGCCGTTATGTCTCCCCCAATGGAGGAGGTGGAAGCATTTCTGATCTGGGCAAGTAGACGCAGAGTGGCCCCTCCATGCTGCAGACCCTGCCTCCACGTCCCTGCCCAAAGCCCCATCCTGGCGGCTCCTGGCTGCCCGCGGGTTCCAGTGCTTCTGCGTCTGCGAGCTTGGCCCAGCCCTGACCGCCTCACCTTCTTTCTCCCTACCTAGAAATTCACTTCCTCCCTCTCTCCCCACTCCCCACAGTTGACCCAAGGCTGCTTCTGGTCACTTTCTCCCTAAACTCCCCTCAGACCCTCCCCTTCAACACACACCTGCCTGAGTCCAGCCCCAAGCTCCAGCACTCAAGGAGAACGTTCACAGCCCACAGCACAATGGGTGCCCACCAGCCTGTGAGCCCTTTCAGGGCAGGCGTTGTCACCCGTCCCGCTCCCTCTCCCAGGAGCAGGCACACAGTGTGCACCGGCAAGGAGGGCAACAGCTGGAGACAAGGGCTTGCCCTGGGGTCCAAATCAGCTTCTGCCCTCGCTGTTGCACAGCAGGTAACCCGCCGTGAGGCAGATAACCCCCAGCCTCAGTTTCTCCATCTGCAGGATGGATCTGGTAATGCCGCCATTCCCCTGCATCTCTTCATTCCCAAAGACCCCCTCAGCCCCACCGACACCAATGTCCATCCAGAACACAGCTGTGGTCTCCTGGTCCCTACACCTCGCTCCCCTACAGTCCACTCTCCACACGACAGCCTGGCCCATCTTTCCCATCCCAGCCCAGTCAACAAGCACTACCTCCCTGGGGGCCGGGCTGCCTGCTCTGGGAGCCAGGAGCACGCCCTGCTCTGTGCTGTGGGCCAGGCCAAGGGGAGCTTGGTGATGGGAACCCGGGCTGGTTCCCTGAGTGCATTTATTTGTCATCTGTCCTGGCCACGTGAGGGCAGGGCCTTGTCTGTTTTCTGTCCTGTTCACGGCCACTCCCCCACACCTACCAAGCACTCTCCCTCAATGGATAGGTGCGAAGTGATGTAAGAAGAGTTGTTGCGAGAGTCACCAGAGCCACCAAGGTGGGGCATGGGGGAGACCGTCCTCGAGATGCTCGGCAACAACACGGACAGGGCTGGGAGACCTGCTACGGGCCAGGGACTAGAGACCAGGGTGGCAGGAAGGGACAGGTGTGGTGACTGCGGCTTCCAGGCCAGGTGGGGCTCTGTATGGAGGAGCGAGTCCAGGACTGGAGGCCGGAGTTCACGGTGCAGAGCGTGTCTATGCACATAGAGCAAGCCAGCTCGGTCCCGGATGGCCTCTGCCAGCGTGTGGGTGAGGGGAGCAGCCCTGGGACAATCTCGTCAGGAAGTGGAGAAGAGGAGCCTTGGGACGCCTGTGTTGGGGGTGGGCACAATGCAGGGCCAGAGGAGATACCAGGAAGTGGGAGAGAATGGGGTCAGATACCCCGGGAGAAGCTTCCAGAAGGGAGAGGCACTCAGAGCCCGGGCCAGCTGTGGCAGTGCAGGGAACACTGTGGAGAAGGGTCCTGGAAAGGTGGGTGGAGCCCCGGTGTTCAGGGGGCTGAGGACTTGCAAGTGTGGGTACAGGAGAGGAGACCCTACATGAGAGGCTGTCGGATGACAGGAGGGAGAAACAGGATGGTTCTGGAAGGGTGAGCAGGCTGAGAGAGGAACTTTCCTGGAGGGGGGAATGTAGGTGGAGGGCAAGGGGCTCTGGGAAAGAGGCCAGGATCCAGCTGGGCAGAGCCCACCTCTGGGCATCTTGGGTGAGTTACATGGGGTCTCCCAGCCTTGGGTTCTAATCCATAAAATGGGCATATGACCATTGAAGAAAAGTCTGTAAACGCACTGAGGGCAGGGCTAGTGTGGGATGCTCCAGATGGAAGCAGGAGGTCAGGGAGGGAGAGGGAGGGCGGGGGAAGAGAGGCTGAGGAGAGGTTGAGGTTGGAAGGTGCAAAGGGGGGGCCTGCCCTGCGCCCGTCATGCCACTCACCCTTGCTTCTGCCCCCACCCTGACGTGGGGTTCCCCCTTGGCCACTGGCCTCTAAATCTGGTTGTTGAGCAGAGTCACTGGGGGCTTTTATACATGCAGATTCCCACTCCTCATTCGTGTGTCTGATTCCACAGGAGTGGAGAGGGCGGGGCCTGGAACCTGGACTTTTGGTAGCTCCCGGGGATCCAGATATACTGTCTTACCGCCTGATGCCAACTCAGGAGATAGCTGCAAACACGAAATCAGATCTGGCCGCCGCCCTACTCAAACTGTGCCTGGCTTCCTGGGCCTCAGGACCAAACTCAGCTCCCTAGAGTGCCTTCCTCGGCTTTGCCCCCCCTGCACAAATGCTCTGTGCAAGCTGTGGTTCCTGAAGGCCTCAGCCTGGATCCTCTCCCCTTCTGGCCCACCTGCTGAATACCCACTGGAGAGGCAGAGGCCCTCAGGCTCCCCCGCCTTGCAGCCCTGACTCCCGACCTCTCAGCAGTGTGGGGCAGGCCTTCCCTGGGCTCCTGTCTCTCCCTCTGGACACTTCTACGCCTCTTCCTGGGATCACCTCCAGCCCATCCTCCAAGATGGGGCTTCTCAGGTTGTCCCCTTCTCTCTCTTCTCCCTCATGCCCTCCCAGGTGCACTCACCTGCTCTCACACCCTACTGTTGCCCTACTGTTGAAACAGAGGACACCCAACCCCACACCTGTCCCCAGAATCCTCTCCTTGGTTCTGGAACCGAGGGTCCCTCTGGCTACTGATCACATCACTTCTGTCAGATTTCCCATCAGCACACCACACTCAGCTCCTCAGCACCTTCCCAGTGACGGGGGGAGCAGAGAAAGGAGAGGCCGTGGTCATCCACAGCCAGGGGAGTGCTCAAGGTGTGGGGTCAGTGGCAACTGGGGCCGTGGTCCCTTCTCTAAAAAACCTCAATGTCAAGAGCAAGTTTCCAGGAACCACAGAGAAGCATTATTTGAAGCAATCTCCCATCCTAACCCACAGCCACACAGGCACAGGATGGAAGAGGCTTGGCTGACAGAGGTTCAGAGTGGACCACAAGCTCACTGAGATTATAAATAATAAACCACAAGCTCAGAGTATCAGATGGAAATTCACGAGGCTCCAGATGAAGGAACCCCTGTGCCCTCCTGGGTAGACCCCCTCTGGGGAGTGGTGATCAGTCCCAGGCTCCACATGTGAAAAAGGATTTGACAGACTCTCCTGGCTGTGGTGATGGGTCTGGGCAGATGCTGGAGGGGCTGGAAGTGTTCTGCCCCGAGAGGAAAAGATCTGAAAACGCCAGGGCTGCCAGCAGAAACCTGTGGACCTATCCTGCAACAGAGGGGCCCTCATCTGTGAAGGCAGATCTGAGAAGAATGGGCAGAAGCTCCATGGGGGCCAGGGCTGGCTTGATACAGAAAGAATTTTCTATGAAAAACTGCCCCATAATGGAGATACCATCAGAGAGAAGAGGCCCCCAAACAGCTACCTCTCCCCCGTTCTTAGCCCCTGGGCTTTAAGTGAGGCTGACTATCCCGGGGTGGAGCCCAGGACCCAGTAAGCCCCAGTGATGAGGTAGGATGGGCACAGGCCCAGGACAGCTGGAGGAGACTTGCTCCCGCACCCCCAAAACCTGTGAGAATGTGGGGCTGGAGCCACGCCTCCATTTTGGCACCAAAGGAGCCTGGGGGGCAAGTTATCCCAAGAAAGCAGAGCCAAGAGACAGACCCTGCAGAAGGCCTGGAGTCCTGGGTGGTGCCAGCAGAGGCCTTTCCCTGCTCCTGCTGGGGTGGGCTTACGGGCATCCACAGTGGATACAGCCCACGTGGAGGTGACAGGATCCGCCCCTAAGGGAGATGCAGGGCTGCTGCAGTGATTCTGTGCCCCGCACTCCGCCCATTGGGAGGGCTGGCTGGGCACGTGCCAGTGTAGGGCACCATCCCATCCTCCATCCTGCACCCATGCCTCTCAGCTGGCATCCTGAGAGGAGGCTATGCAGGGGAATGGACAGGTGGCCCTATCTGCACCCCTCCCAGGAGCTCACCTGTCAAACAGTGGCTTCTCCCCACAGTCGAAGGAATCCTGCAGGTCCCTCACCAGGTTGGCCTGGCCAGGCATGCGGAAGAGGCCCTCCTCGGTGAGCCCGCGCTCCCGGATGAAGTCCACACACTGCTCCACCAGCAGGGGTGCCAGGCGCGGGCCATACTTCCGCTCGTGGTGGACTGTGTCCTCCAGGCGCTGCCCAAAGACCCCTGGGCACAGAGAGGAGCCGGTCACACCCTCAGCTAGCCGGCTCGGCGGTGGGGGAGGGCGCTGGGGACAACAGAGGGCAGGGGGTGCTGTCAGGGCCAAGGGTGGCCCCCCGTGAGGGAGCAGGTTAGAAACTGGGAGGGCAGGCACCAGGCGGCTGGGACGGGGCGGGAGGGCATAGCGGGCAGGAGCCTGGCCTGGCCTGTGGAGCTTGTTCAAGCCTGAGGACCCTCAGGGAGGGCCCTCAGGGAGCATGCATTATGCGTTTTATTGATTGGTTTATTTATGCAACACTAACCTCCAAATGGAAGTGGCTTGCATTTAAAAACCCAACACTATGTCCACTGAAAGACGCACTCTAGAATGTTCTTAGTGGCACTCCCTTGCAATCCCTCCAAAGGGGAAACTACCTAATGCCCATGAGCGGCAGAATGAGCGGGATCATCATGGTCTCCTCATACCATGGAGCATGGGACAGCAATGACAACAGATGGGACACAGCTCAGGCAAAAAGACAGACGATAGATGATGAGAAAGCAGAATCACAACTCAGCATCACTGATCATTAGTGAAATGCAAATCAAAACCACCTCACACCCATGAGGACGGTTACAATCCAAAAAACAGAAAACGTGTTGGTGAGGATGTCAAGAAATTGGAACCCTTGTGCCCTGTTCATGGGAATGTAAAATGGTGCAGCCACTGTGGGAAACAGTATGGAGGCATGTCAAAAAATTTAAAACACAGTTACCATATGATCCAGCAATTCTGTATACCCGAAAGAAGTGAAAGCAGAGACTTGAGCAGATATATGTACACCCATGTTCACAGTAGTATTATTCACAACATCCAAATGGCGGAAGCAACCCAAGTGTCCATCAGTGGATAGATGCGTAAACAAAATGTGATACATACATACAACAGAATATTATGCAGCCATAAAAAGAAGGAAATTCTGACACATGCTATAACATGGACAAACCTCGAGGACATTTTTCCGAGTGAAACAAGCCAGTCCACTAAAACAAGTAAAATACTGTACTTAGAATAATCAAATGGGTACTTAGAATAATCAAATTCATAGAGACGGAAGGTAGAATGGTGGTTGCCAGGGATTGGAGGACAATGGAATGGACAGTTATTGTTTAATGGGTACAGAGTCTGTTTTACAAGATGAAAAGAGTTCTGGAGATGAATGATGGTGATGATTGCACATGACGAATATACTTAATGCCACTGAATTGTACACTTAAAAATGGTTAAAATTTTATGTCAGACCTATTTTTACCAAAAATTTTTAAAATGAAAAAAAAAACCCGTAATTGCTAGCAGAAGCCAGACCCAGAGTGTACACTGCATGACTCCATTTATGTAAAGTGCAAAACCAGGTCAGAACATAGTTACCTTGGTGGGTCAGTGACTGAGGGGACCCGGGGGTGCTGGTAATACTCGGATTCTGGACCTGGGCACTACTTACCCAGCTTTGTTCACTTTGAGAAAAATCATTAAACTACACACTTGTGACACCTGTGTTCTGCTCACCTTTCTGTTTGCTATATCTCAATAACATTTGCAAAAAAAAAAAAAAATTAGAAAGCAAAATATCCAAAACATTTAATAGAGGACAAGAAAGCAAATGAGGGACAGAGGAAGAGAGCAAGAAGGTAAAGGAACTTTTGACCCAGAAAACCTGTGACAACTAAATACACAACTGGGCAAAGAGGTTCCTGGCAGCCCAAAGAGTGGAAGGAGTGGAGATGCATGAAGCTCCCTAACTCACAGTGATAGTGAAGGAGAAACAGACTTCTCCCAGCCCTAAGCTCTACAAGGACTCTGGAAGGCCCGCCATCTGCCATCTCCTTATCTCTGACTCAGAGACCATCCCCGCAGGGCGGCTGTGGGGTGGGCCAGAGCATGACATCAAAGCTCCATTCTGTCCAGGCAGCTCTGTCCTCCCAGAGGGATGCAGCCCAGGCAGGTGGCCTCCCAAGACCTGAGTGCTGAGCCAGCCAGGTGAGAGGGTGGCAGGATGGATGACTGCCTACTGTAGCTTCCCACACACAATGGCTGTTTTGAAATAAGATACATCAGTCCCTAAGACAATGCCTGACATAGAGCAGGACTCAGGCAACGTTCCTTCTCATGCTGCTCGACCTAAAGACAAAGTATATAGAACCTGGGGGATGAGATTTCTCCCTTCTAGAAAACATTCCCACAAGGAAGGCACCCAGTGACACCATCAATGCTTTGGGGAGAAGTGTGTGGATGCATGTGTGTGTGAGTGTGTGAGTGTTCATGCCTACACCTGCATGTGGACTTGTGTGTGCATATGTGTGTGCATGCATATACATGTGCACAAGGAAAGTGTGCTGAACTGGCCGAGACATGGCACTCATGGTACCAGGTGACGTTCTAAGCACTTTACATGTATCAACGTATTTGATCCTCAGACAGCTGGATAACTTAGGGAATATTACCATTATTGTTATCATCACCATCATCATCATTCCCAATTTCCAGATGAACAAACTGAGAGGCAGCGGGCTTCAGAATGTGCCCAAGTTCACTCAGCACGTGGCAGGGTCAAGGTTCAAGCCCAGGCAGTCTACATGGAACATTCTCCTGGATAGATCACATCATGGGCCACAAATCAGTGAATTTAAGACTACTGAAATCACATCAAGCATCTTTTCTGACCACAATGCTATGAGATTAGAAATCAATTACAGGATAAAAACTGTAAAAAACACAAACACATAAAGGCTGAACAATATGTTACTAAACTACCAAGGCATCACAGAAGAAATCAAAGAAGAAATTTAAAAATGCCTAGAGACAAATGACAATGAAAACATGATGGTCCAAAACTCATGGGATGCAGCAAAAGCAGTTCTAAGAGGGAAGTTTATAGCAATACAATCTTACCTTGGGAAACAAGAAAAATCTCAAATAACCTAAACTTACACCTAAAGCAACTAGAGAGAAAAGAACAAACAAAACCCAAAGTTAGTAGAAGGAAAGAAATCATAAAGATCAGAGCAGAAATAAGTAGAGACGAAGAAAATAGCAAAGATCAATGAAACTAAAAACTGGTTCTTTGGCTTCCGGGAAGATGGCAGAAAAGTAAGACGCGGAGATCACCTTCCTCCCCACAGATACACCAGAAATACATCTACACGTGGAACAACTCCTACAGAACACCTACTGA